TATAAGTAATTGTTACAAGTCAAAAGAGGTAATCATCTCTCTATAAAAATAACTAGTTAGGCTTCACTTAAAATATCACACAGTTTTGGTCTCCTTATCCGAGAAATGATATTTACTTAATAGAAAAGGTTCAGTGGAGTATCACTAGAACGATTCCTGAGATGGATAAGTTGGGAATAGGTTAAAACCACTTAGCTTATTTTCTTTTAAGAAAATAATGGTAAGAGGCGATTTTATTGAAGTTTATAAGATTACTTAGGGGATCGACAGGATTAATGTATTTGATTTTTTTTTTTGCTATATTCTGAAGGTAATAGGATGAAAGAACGCATTATTAAAAATTTGGAAAAGACACGCTACATTTAAGACAGTTGTATTTTTATAACATAGTGACTGACTTACGAAATGTGTTTCCGTCGGAATTATTGGAGGCCAGCACCTTGCAGGAGTGTGAAATATGAATCGATTATTTCCTGAATCATAAGGATGGGTTTAAATTCTTGCCCTTATTATGTACGATGACAACTTTGAAGGACCAAATGACCCTTCATATCCTTAAGTTACAACAGATTGACAGCAAGTGTTGATGCATCCTATAGTCCTTGATTAGGTTATCTGGGATTTCGGGTGTGAGGAGGGTAATGAGAAAACATGTTGTGCTGATAAAGATAAATGTAGTTAACAGTACTGGCAAATATTTATCTATGGCCATCCACGCAGGTTTTCAAGCGACCATATCCTATATTTCCTATAATATCATTTAGTTTTTGTCACACTACAAAAATAGTAACAATAAATGTACAATGATTTTTTTGTATTTTTGGACAACCCAAAGGAAAACTTAAAGTAAATTTTACCTCAAATTTCCATAATATTCTAGTTTTAAACTTCAGATGCCTTCGGCCACGAAGCATAGCTTATACTTGTTAAACTATATACGGATGAGTTGTGGGTACTAAAACTACAATTTTATAGTTTCCTTACCTTAAAGGTTTTTACATACATAACATATAGTGATATGTCATTTGAATAAATGCAAATTTAATCACTATATGCTGGGTTTAGAATAATAAAAGAGGAAACGGAAGTCATAATTTTCTGATCGCGAAAATTCAAAACGTCGGGTCAAATCTAGACAATCTGGAAACTTACAGGAGTCAAGAATTATCACTATGTGTCAAAACTTTTTCTACTAAGCAATATAAAACGTCTAAATTAAAATATTGTTACGACAGTGGAAGTCACGCGCCGCTGGGAGCATGTGCGCTGGAATTTCTCGAATGATCATGAAGGCCCCAGTGCATTCAAGACCCTTTTTTTAGTATATAAGCCTGGCGAGAAAAACCAGCGGGATCGGGGCAGATAGATAATTGAGTCAAGCGAACAGTAGGAACCGTAAGTAAAGTGTGTGAATCACTGGGATTATAGTGTATGTTTATAAAAAATCGTTAAGTTTAAAGCAACGAGGAACGTATTGACTGAGGAAATTCTGCGTATTACAAAGTTTGTATCGAGAAAAAATAAACTAGTTTTTTAAAAAAAGGACTTGTAGTGCTCAAGTTCCTCGGAAAGAATTTCTACGGGAAATTAAGAAACAAGCAGATACGCAACAAATTGGTGTCAGAGAGTGGGACTGAAAAAGAAGAGAGAGAGAGAGAGAAAAAGAAGATGGAAACGAGAAGTGGCAAATCAAACTACAGCTTAGCAGATTTGATGGCAGCAATACAAGAACAGCAAAAGAAACAAGAAGAACGAGAAAAAAACAAGAAGAGAGATTACAGCAGTTGTTGAACGAAAAATAAAAGAAACAAGAAGAGAGATTACAGCAGTTGTTGAACGAAAAATAAAAGAAACAAGAAGAGAGACACCATCAGTGGCAAGAAAACATGCAACAGTGGCAGCTCAAACAGCAAAATAAACAAGAGAGATTACAGCAGTTGTTGGAGGAAAAAGAATGGAAACAAGAAGAACGAGAAAATAAACAAGAAGAGAGACTACAGCAGTGGCAAGAAAACCAGAACCAGTGGCAACTGGAACAAGAAAAGTAACAGCAAGAAAATCTCCAACAATTGAGAGAAAGCCAGTATACAGAAATGGAAAAGATTAGTAAATTTCAAAGTGAACTAAATACATTAAAGGACGATTTACTGTCTTTTACACAGGGAGGATATACTAGCCATGGGCCTAATCAGCCCCAGACAAAAGGAAGCCCTTCCAGACCCCGCAGCTAAACCCTAATGCAGACATTTTCAGTCCTGTTAGAAGTCACATCCCAGACATGAGTGTCAGCAATAGGGGTGATCTAGTACGAAGAAAGCCACAGGAATTCGATGTAAAGGCACCATGGGAAGCATATAGAGCACAATTTGAGCTACTGGCAGAAATGAATGGATGGACAGAGGAGCAGAAAGCAGTATATCTGGCAACGAGCTTGAACAGACAACCACTGGAAATACTTGGAAAGTTGTCGTCAGATGACAGGCACAACTATAGAACACTGGTAGATGCTCTAGAACCCAGGCATGGAACTCAAAATTAGTCTTACAGGGCTAGGTTTAAGACGATAGTCCGTGCTAAAGGGGAGAGCCTGCAAGAGCTGGTACAGGATTTGGAAATAATGGCACACAAGGTCTACCCAACTGCACCACCTGATGTTCTCAAGCTGTTGCTGAGGGATCAGTTTGTAGATGCCTTGGACAGCCCACAACTTAAGATACAAGTGAAGCAAGCACATCCCTATACTATGCAAGATGCAATGGCCAGAGCTCTTGAATTTGTTAAGTCCAGCACAGAGGTACCAAGGTTGGTACAGTCATCGGGATTCAAGGTCAGAAAAGGGAAGCTTTCAGAGAAGTTTAAGGGACTTTGCTGGCACTGTAACAAACCTGGGCACAAGAGAGCTCAATGCCGGCAACTTCAACACAGGGGAGGTGCCACAGCAGGAAAGGCTGCTACCCAGAAAGGTTGTTGGAACTGTGGAGAGCAAGGACATATTAGGAACCAGTGTAATAAGAATACTACCAACAAGTCGGCTTCAAGAAGACCAGTAGTGGTTGGTGTTGAGCGACGCCCACCAAACCCTATCATGAAAGTCCCAACAGCTAGGTGTAAAATGCCAAGCACACACAATGTCTATGTGACAGGAAAGCTGGATGGCCAAAGGTGCAACTTTGTCATAGACTGTGCATCTCAGCAAACCCTTGTGAGCATCAAGGTGTTAAATCACGAAGGAGTACCAGAAGCCATATAGAAGCTTTATGGTGTGACAGGACATTCTACAAGATAGTGGGGACCGGTGAGGGTGTCTATTGAGCTCATGGACATAAAGGACAGACAGAAAGCATACTTGGATGACATGGAAGACGAATGCATATTAGGAT